CTCCAGGCCTCGTACCCCAGGGCCCCCGCCTGTCCCCAGGCAGCACCGACGCTGCCCCTGGCACCCCCAGGAGCAGGAGCTGCTCAGCCCCCGCTGTCAGGAGAGCGGAACGAGCCCACAGCGGGATCCCGGCTGCGAGGGGTCCAGCGATACCGAGCAGCGTTTCCCAGGGCGGGATGGGCGGAAGGGGTCTCTAAAATCCAATCTCAAACCGGTATGAAGAGAAAAAACACTTTTCTGTCTGCACTGCAGGGTCAAGTAACAAAAAGAAACAACCAAGGGCCAGGGGAAGAGATGGGGAAGAGCAGGAGCTGCGTCCTGAACCCCTCCCTCGGAGCTGGAGACGCTCCTCCTGCAGCCGGCCGCTCCGCGTCTGCCCCCACCGGCACCGAGCAGCGAATCGGGGTGAAAACAGTCCCTGTGTTGTCCCGCACGCAGCAGCCCTGCAGCCCCCGCGCTCGTCTCAGTCCCGTGCCATCAAACGGCCGCCAGACCGAGCAGGCAAACGCTCCGGCGCGCGCCGCGTGACAGCGCTGGCGAGGACGCGAGCCAGGCCTGCTTGCCCGGCTGCGTGCGCAGGTGCCCGAGGGCGGGCTGGTTCTTCCCCAGGAGCTGGGCAGGGAGAGGCAGAGGGGTGTGAGGGCAGGGGGTGCCTCTTCATTTGGCTGGTTTGGTGATGATGCGAGCGGAGAAGTCAAAGAGGTTCTTGTTGATTTTCCGGAGGGTGCTCACCTCCTCTTCCAGCTCACTCACCTGGATCGTCAGATGCTCCTGGTCTCCCACCAGGTTCTGCGACAGAAAAACGTGACAGAAAAGCTTCAGGCGCCTGGGTCTCACCTCTAGCAAGCAGAGGCGCGTGCTCCCCCGGACAGCAGCAAATCCTAAACTTATTGTCCTCTCCCTCCTCCATCTCCCACTCAAGCTGCAGCCCCTCCTGCCTACCCCGTCAGCGAATTCCAGGGCGCGTTCTTCCCCCCAGCTTTGCGCGGTCCCTAAGGACCGCTTCAGCTGAAGAGAGGGCTCCCCACGGGATCCGTACCAGCCGGACGCGATTCCCCCTTCTCGGAGCAGCGCTCACCTTTTCCCGTGTTGAGTACATCTGCGAGTACATCTTCTCAGCCTTCTCCAGGTAGCTCTCCCCAGACTCCTGCAGGGACCAGAGAGGAGACACTGGTACAGAAGACCCGGGCGCTCTCCCAGCACCCCCGGGCAGGGTTCCCCTCCCAGCCCCCAGCCCCGCGGGCCAAAGCAGCGACCGAGCGGACTCCAGCAGGGTACAGCCAACGCTGTGGCACCGGCAGAGCCTGGCCGGAGCTGCAGCCCCCCTCAAAAAGGGAAGGTCCGTGCCCAGGGCTGGTCCCCTCGAGCGTCCCTCGTGCAGGGGTCTGCCAAGCTCCTCTCCCAGCATGGACAGAGCCCTTTGCCTGCGCAGGGGGAAGCGCCGGGCTCGCCACACCACAGGCTGCTCTCCCCAGCACGGTGCTGGGAGCGGAGGAGCCTGACTGACTGCGGGACTGACGTTTCCAAAGCAGCACCCGAGCTGGCCCTGCACTGCCGGCGTGCCATCCCCGCCGCCGAGCAAACAGCTCCTCCTGGACCGGCTGACACCTCCCCTGCACGGGGCTCATCCGTCAGCCATGGCAGGGCTGTCGCTCGCCCGGGGACAGATGCTGACAGAGGAGAGAAACTCTGGGACTGCCGGCAGAGAGACAGGGGACGGATGGACTGGCACGGCACGCAGCGAGGCTGTGATCGTGGATGCTGCGATCGTGGATGCTGCAGGACACTCCCCTGTCTGGGGACGGCCACGCTGGGGTGACTTCAAAGGGACACCCTGTGCCCCAGCCAGGACCCTGCTCCACTTGGAGACCTCAGTCCGGGGGCTCCTCTCCCCCGGCCGAGAGCGAGGGAAGAGCCTGCCTGTTGCCTGCCTGGCCTGCCCGCAAGGCTCCCACCACACATCAGTTAACTGGGCAATTCCACTGCTTGAAAAAATGGCACTTGGGGAAGTTCAGCAGCATGGGGGAAGGTCAGAACAGGCCGCGGAGCTGCTGCCCATCAGCAGCGGATCAGCACCGACCAGCCCCCGCCGCTGGAGGAGAAATTTTGCACCCTCTGGCACAGACCCCCCACCCGACCTCCATCTCCCCCCCCCCAGCAGCCTGCTCATCCCCGTACCTGCTGGTGGAGCCCGAGGCGCAGCGTCACTCCCTCGCTCCCCTGCTCGTCGTTGCTCTCGGTGCCGTGGAGGTGTTTGCTGAATTTGGGGAGAGGCACGCTGGGTTTCCCGTCCGGGTTGAACATGTTGGCTGGGGCCAGCACTATGAAGGCGTTTGTAACCGGACCTGGGATGGGACAAGAGGAGGGGACAGGTCAGACTTCTCCCCGCCGGTGGGGCTGCCTCTTGCCCGGCGCCTCAGGCAGCCCTAACAACAGAGTACAACCCGTGGCGCAGGCAGCTGCCGGGACTCCTGCCTTCCTCCCCAGCACCCGGGAAGAGGCAGAGCCCCTCTCCCCGTCCTGGGCGGTGGGGAGCAGGGACGCGGCTCCGCAGCCTGGGCCCAGCAGGGAGGAGCGGGGCGGCCCGGCCGTCCTCCGCAGAGCCAGCCATCCATCAGCGGCTGCTCTCGCAGCTGTCTCCTGCAGTGATCTATCACACGCTCTCGTTTGGCAGAGCTAATGAGCGCTTTAATTACTGCATTTACCCACACAGGCTGCTGCTTTCTGTCAGCAGCCCCCTCCGCCCCCCCTTCCGAACTCGTGCTCGCTGGCGAACTCCCACCGCTGCCCCCCACCCCCCCAACCTCTCCCCATCA